TGAGTCAGTGGTGAGTTCTTCATTTTTTCCCTCCAATATTACCCAGCCAGGAATCAAAGGTAGCCTATAGCCCTGAAATACACAGCAAATATGGACAGAAAGAGCCTCAAGAGAAGACCTCCCTTTCTTGTCTGTGGAGCAGAAAAGGGCCAGAGTGATTGAGGACAACACCTTGGGCTTTCTCTTTTATTTTCTTCTCTTCTCTCCTACGATAACACCCCCACAAGCAATCCTTTGATGATCCTGGTGGTAGCACAGTGAAATAAATGGCAGTGGGAAGGTACCTTAAAACTTCTTTTTGATCAAAGGAACTGTGTCCCAAGAGTGCACAGTGAACACACACAGCTGTATTTTCTTTGGCCCTTTCTCCTCCCACCACTTGGCCTTGGACGTAGGCACAGATACTGGAAGTTTATGGAACAGTTGGGAAATTCAAGTCCCAGGTTTCTGGTCATAAAACTGGGAAGGGAAATTCTAGAGCAAAAAGCAGTGTTGGCAGAATTACAGAGAGGATCAAGATCAGGAGGGTGATTCCATGAAGTTGGGTATGAACTCCTAAGTACACCTCCTACCTGGGCATGGCATTCTACAGGCCTTGAGAACTGAGCACAGGTCGCAAACTAACCACCCAGACTGATCTGAGTAGCACTGAAAATATTTTTAAAACAGATTTATGTTGAAACCAGAACTCAGAGAGGCCAGGTCAGAATTTGTGGCCCAAACCTAATCTCAGTGATGCCTACCAAAACAATGGCAACAACAGCAACAAGAACAACAAAATCAACATTCTTTTTAGAAGGTAAAAAAGACCCAGGGATTCTAATACAGTATTTAAAATGTTCAGGATATAATCCAAAATTAGTTTGCATTACAAAGAACCAGGAAAATTTCAACTCAATGGAAAAGACAATTAACAGATGTCAACCCTGAAGTCACAGAGATGCTGGGATTATCAAAGACCTTAAAGTCACTATCAGAACTATGCTTCCAAAAGTACATGGCCTAACATACCAAATAATAGATGAAGAATGTCAGAGTACCTAAAAAAAACTAAATATATACTGTCTTCACAAAACCCTCCTTATATATGTAGGTTAAAATTAAAGGGATGGGCAAAGATATACTTCACATACATGAATCAAAAGAAAGCTAGAATGTTGAACTTAATGTCAGACAAAGTATATTTCAGAATAAGGAGAGTTACTAAGGCCAAAAAGAACATAACATAATGGTAAAAAAAAAAAAAAGTCAGTTCATTAAGACTCATAATAGTCTAAATATATATGCACCTAACAACACAGCATCAAGATGTATAAAGCAAAATTTGATCAACTATACTTCAATTAACAAAAAACAAGGAAGTCTTCTAAGGCTACCAGATTCATTTACAGAAACTTGGAGGCCAACTTGAAGTTGCTTATTTGATCATCACTAGGGATGTGAACTGGAATGGATTGATACACCATCAAGTATATTGAAATCCATGAGCTCATACTGATGCAAATTAAAAAAAAACAACAACTCTGGTCACCTTTGGAGGATGCACAATGGTAAATAAGTAGAAAGAATATATTTAAATAAATAAATGAATAAATAACATTTTTTAAAAAGCTGATAAACCTGGAATGAGAGATGGGCAAATTCTTAATTATAATTGGAGACTTTAACACTCTTTAGTCTTCATGCAAACAAGCAGACAGAAAATCAACATGGATATGGAAGAACTGAGCACCGCCATAAACTAACAGCATCTAATTAAAATTTATAGAACACTTCACCCAACAACAGCATAATACATGATCTTTTCAAGTCCACATGGAACATTCATCAAGATAGGCTATTATGGGGTCATAAAACAAATCTTGACAAATTTAAAAGAAGTTAACAAAGTATATTCTCTGACATAATAGAATTAAGCTAGAAATTACCAAGAGAAATATATCGATGAATCCAACAAATGGTGTTGGAACCATTAAACATTTACATGTAAAACCTGAAGCTCTACCTAAATCTTACACCATAAACAAATATTAATTCAAAATAGATTATAAATCAAAATGTGAAAAGTAAAAAGTTTAGAAGAAAATTTAGGAGAAAATCTTTATAACCTGGAGGTAGGCTTCTTAAAATGACATTAAAAGCACAAACTAGAGATGAAAAATTATCAATAAATTAGATTTTATCAAAAGTAAATATTTTGTTCTGTATAAGACTCTATTAAGATAATGAAAAGATAACCTACACAATGGGCTAAAACATTTCCAAATCATACATCCAGCAAAGGCCTCATATTCAAAATATATTTTAAAAAATTTCTCAAAACTCAACAGTAAGAAAACAAGCAACCCAATTTAAAACCATAATTCAAAAAGAGACATGTACCACAATGTTCACTGCAGCACTATTTACAACAGCCAGGACATGGAAGCAACCTAAGTGTCCCTCAAAAGATGAATGGATAAAAAATATGTGGCACATATGTACAATGGAATATTACTCAGCCATGAAAAGAAATGAAATTGAGTTATTTGTAGTGAAGTGGATGGACCTAGAGTCTGTCATACAGAGTGAAGTAAGTCAGAAAGAGAAAAACAAATACTGTATGCTAATACATACATATGGAATCTTAAAAAAAAAAATGGTTCTGATGAACCTAGGGGCAGGACAGGAAGAAAGATGCAGATGTAGAGAATGGACTTGAAAACATGGGGGTCAGGGGCAGGGAAGGGGAAGCTGGGACAAATTGAGAGAGTAGCATTGACATATATACGCTACCAAATGCAAAATAGATAGCTAATGGGAAGCAGCTACATAGCACAGGGGGATCAGCTCGGTGCTTTGTGACTACCTAGAGGTGTGGGATAGGAAGGGGGGGACGGAGGGGCAAGAGAGAGGGGATATGGAGATATATGTATATCTGATTCACTTTTTTATACAAAAAAAAACTAACACAACATTGTAAAGCAATCATACTCCAATAAAGATGTAAAAAAAAAAAAGAAAATTAACAGAGTTCAAACAAAAGATATTCTGATCAGAATAATAAATAAATAAAACCTAGGAAAAGACTTGAACAAACACTGCACTAAAGAGGATATAAAGATGGCAAATAACCCCGTGAAAATATGCTCAGCATCACTTGCCATTAGGATCATGTAAATTTAAACCATGATGAAAAATCACTACATATCTTGTAGAAAGTATAATTCTCAAAAAAAAAAAATCTCACAAATCAAGTGTTAGTGAGGATGTAGAGCAAACTGAACTCTCATACATTGTTGGTGAGCATGCAAAATGGTACATCCACTCTGGAAAAATAGTTTAGCAGTTTCTTATAAAGCTACACATACACTAGCCATATGACCCAGCAATCCCACTCATGGGTACTTACCCTAGGGAAATGAATACTTGTGTTTACACAAAAACCTGTTTATAGCAGCTCTATTCATAATTGCAAAACTTGTAAACAACCCAAATGCCTTCAAAGGAATGAGTTGTAGATAAATAAAACAACCTGGATGAACCTTGCATTATAGTGAAAGAAGCCAGCCTCAGATTACATACTGTATGATTCCATTTATTTGACATTTTGGAAAAGCGAAACAATGGTAATGGAGAGCAGATCAGTGCTTGCCAGGGGCTAGAGGCTGAAGGAGGATTTGCTTACCAAGGCGGCAGTATGAATAAGTTTTTTGGGGGTGATAAAGCTTCTGTATTCTGGTTGTGGTGGTAGTTACGTGAACCTATATGTGTGTTGAAACTCAGAGAATTCAACACCCAAAAAAGGTCAAATTTTTGTATGATATTTAAACTTTTTTTTTAATGTAAGCTATATAGATTTCCAAATGACAAAATTTGGTAGCAATTTCTTTATTTCATCAACTGCTCACAGCATGAAACACTGTTTAACTCACAGTTTTCTGATTGGTAATGTTATTCTCTTTTTTTTTCCTGAAATACTGAAAGTCATCTTTTAGTATCAGATATTTAGACATATGTCTATTTTTTGAGAAGAAATTAATGAAGCAGCAGAAACATTTAAAAAAAAATAAAAAGGCTAGAGACTTCAAGTTCTAGAAGTCCAACCCTCAAAGTTGCTTTTCCATAGGAAAAGCATAGGACACATGCTCCTTATCTTGACAGACCAAACTTTTCAAGGAAAGGAAGTTATCAACTGAAACATGATCCCAGGTTTGTACAGCAACAGGCCCTTAGTATTTTATCAAGAAGTCATTATATCTAGGTGAAAAGCATCTCAAGCAGAGGGGTGACTTAAGGTAGGAAGGAGCAAGACTCCTTAAGGAACTAAACAAGGCCAGTGGCTGGAGCACAGAGATGGAGGAGGTGGGGAAGAGGATGGAGACATGGGCAGAGCTCAGGTCATACAAGCCTGGTCAACTCACTAATGATTCTGTTTTTATTCTAAGAAGAGTAGGATTTCTTTGATGATTTCTTAAGTAACATGATCAGATTTGTTTTCCCCATCCTTATGTATATGTTTTAATTGTTGTAAAATATATATGACAAAATTTACCATTTTTAAGTGTGGAGTTTAGTGGCATTAAGTACATCCACATCACCACCATCCATCTCCAGAGCTTTTTTCATCTTCCCAAACTGAAACTCCATACCCATTAAATAATAACTCCCCACTCTTCCCTTCCCCCAGCCCCTGGCAACCACTGTTCTGCTTTATGTCTCTATGAATTCAACTACTCTAGATACCTATTATATGTAGAATCATACAGTATTTTTCTTTGTAATTGTCTTATTTCACTTACTATAACGTCTTCAACGCTTATCCATGTTGCAGCATATGTCAGAATTTCCTTTTTTAAGGCTCAATAATATTCCATTGTATGTATATAACACATATCATTTATCTATTCATCCATCAGTGGATACTTGGGTTGCTTCCACGTCTTGGCTATTGTGAACAATGCTGCTATGAACATGGCTATACAACTACCTGTCTGAGTTCCTGCTTTCTTTTGTTTTAGGTATATACTCAGAAGTGGAATTTCTGGATCATATAGTAAGTTTATGTTTAATTTTTTGAGGAATTTTGATATTGTTTTCCATAGTGGCCAGATTTGTTTTTAAAAGATCATTCCATCTATAGTTTGACAACAGATCAATGGGTCTAGAATGTTTATAAGGAGATCAGTTAGGAGGTGATTGAAGGAGCCCAGCTGAGAGATGACAGTGGCTTACACTAGGGTGTTGGTGATAAACAGAGAGAGAGAAGTAACAAATAGGAGAGATATTCAGGTAAAATTAACAGGACTCAGGGAAGGATGCATACTAACTGCCTGGAGATAAAGATGCAGGTACCATGCTAGACACTGTGAGCCATGTGTCTTCATTCTTGGGTCAAAGAGTGATGGCCATGTGGGTAGGGTTAAACATGGCCCTGGGAGAGTCACTGGGAGTTAGGGAACCATCCAGTCTAAGGTTGGCTGCCTGGAATATGCCACACACAGGGTTCCTATCTTTGGGAGATTACAATCTAGTTCAAAAGATTAGAAAATATTCATTGCAAAAATGCTATAATATAAGTCAAAGGCCAAATAGGAAGGAACTGACTTTTTTTTGAAAACCTACAAATATGTTCCACTTGGCCTTCCATTGGTGCAGCCACCTTGTGTCACAAGATGCAGTAGGACCCTGTCCATAACTCCTCTCTGCTTCTGGGACCTCAAGCCACATACCACAGAGCATTTCTCAGAAAGAGGCCCCAACCACAAAGAAAAATAATTCTCAGAAGGGTGCTAGAATACACAAGTTACTGATAAAATGGGCTGGGTTGCCAAAGTTGCTCAGTTCCATGTTTTTGTTCCCCATTTGAATGTGTAAGAACATTGCCATCTTGCTGCAGCAAGGATAGAGAAAGCAGAATGTCTGTCACAGTGTGGGACCTCCTTGCCTCACCACATGCAGACTCGATAAAAGAGGGACCTGAGAAGCAGTCATACAGCCACACAAGGCCAGGCAATGCACTGCAAGGTTTGTATGTACTCACTTACTTAATCTTCACAATGACCATGTGACATTATTCAGATAGCCTCATTTCCATCTTTATATGGATGAGAAGAGTGGGAGTTCAGAGATATTGAGTTATTGCCCCAAGTCACATAACCAGTAGACACAGAACCAGGCCCCCTCTCTGCCAAATAAGCAATAATGAGAATAAATGCTCGGAAAGTGAACATATAAAAAGATTGCCTCAGTCAACAGTGTTCTGGGATATGGCACAAGTGGGATTTGGGTGGTATCTTGAAGGGAAGGATATTCATGTACAAAGTGGAGGAATTAAGAGTAGAAGGAATGACTGCAGAATAACTGGTGCTTGAGGGAAATAAATGGAGGAAGCATGCCTGGAAGGCATTTCAGATTAGGTGAGGGAACTCAGACTGAGCTCTGTCAGCAATGGGGAGCCACTGAAGGATTTTGAGCAGGAAAGTGAAATGAACCAAATACTAATAACTCTTTAAAAATATAGCAAGTGTTACAGTCTCTGTTTCAGCAGACGTCTGATATTAGATGCCATAATCCAAAGTGAGTTGTAAGAGCACCTCTTTTCAAAAAATCTCTCTATACCTTTTCTTCCAGCTTTCTTGACATAGTGAGTTTGTGTACAACATGATTAATACAAGTATATATTTGCAAAAATTTTGTAATAATATCATTTTCTGTTGATAGAATAGAAAGATAATTCAATTTTGGAGCATGGCTGATGAGCATTTGTTTAGTTATTGGTAGTTTAAAAAAGTTTCCTTCAACTTCATCACTCATCACTGTTCCGGAAATGTCAAGTTTAGATATTGACACAGACAAAGCCACAACTTTTCCTACAGAGGTCATCACTGGTGGTCGCACCACTATGGGGGTATGCCCTGCAAACAGAAATTCTGAGAAATTCTCTTTTTTTCAGTTCCCATCAAAAAACTTTAATATAATAGTGTACATTATATTTTAAACATTCCCCAATAGACAAGAATATCTTTTTGACTAATGTTGCACATATCTAATGATTAGAAAGATTTTTCACAGATGAGCTTTTGATATTAAACCATGCTCCTTTGCTAGTACTCACATATTATGATAGGTGCCTCAGGACACATTCACATCACCATAGGACATGTGGCCCTGCAATTTTGTGTCACGAGATCAGATGAGTCAGAGTGGGTAGAAGGAGTTGCCTTTCCTACACCAGGTTGGCTAATCATAGCTTAACTGTACACAGAAATGACTGCAAACCATGTAAATAGACTGGATCACATTCAAATTGCTATACTTTTTTGTTTATACTTTTTATTTTTTAGGCCACACTGAGCGCGTGTGGGATCTTAGTTCCCTGACCAGGGGTCAAACCCATGCCCCCAGCACTGGAAGCACAGAGTCTTAACCACTGGACTTCCAGGGAACTCCCTGCTATACTTCTAATTCAGCCTTTCCTTAGCTGAATCCCAGAAGTGCCCATGCTCACTCTATCACCAACCAACCAGAAAGGGAAATGGGAGGGAAGAGATCTGTATTTTGCAAGTATTACAATATCATATGACCAATGTGAGCATGTTTCCAGGCTCCTCCTGGGGTCTGGGAAGGAGTGTGTACTATGAGGGGCCCTGAAACTTAAACTCCATTAGCTTCATGGTAAATTTGCATCTCATTAGGATAGAACCTGGAGGTGCGACCATACTTGGGAAATAAGAAACAGAATAATTACCACAATTAAATTCCAATTTAGGATAATTGTTTCTTTCATGTGGGTTTAGAAATCAGATTTTCCTTTTATTTTTATTTACATATCAACTATTCATTGACCCTTGCTAGTGACTGAGGTTAAACAAATAAACATGACTCTCGGACCCCTTTAATACTAGCTGCATAAACAAATACACTGTAGTCTATTCAATGCTGGGAACCTCAAGGAGAGAGCATCCAGTTTGCTGGGGCTGGGGGTGTGGTGCAGTCCCAAGGAAGGCTTCCTAAGCCTGGGGCCTCCTTTGAGTATTGAAGGGGCCACACAAGTTTGCCAGGTGAACAAGGAGGGCAGATGCTTTTTAGAGGGAGAGAGCTAACCAAGGTGAGATGCAGCAGAGCAAGTTCAGAGAAGAGTAACTAGTGTGCTAAGGCCAGATTCCAGAGTGCATGGTTCGGGTTGACAGGAAAGGAGCCCAGTGCAAAAAGGAGGGCATCGCAAAATGATCTGATGTGAGGACAGCTGGAGCAGTGAGTACATGGGCAAGAGGTCTAGGAAAGAAAAGAGAGCTGCCTGAGCTGAAGGAGCAGGAATGAGCTTTTAAGGCCCATGTTAGGCTTTGGTAATAATTAACTGAATATTGGATTTGAGAGAGATATAGGAGTTCTAGTATGAAGGCTTAGACTTTCTATAACTATAACTGTAATAAACTCCTTTTATTAGAGACATTTTTAAATACAAAGGAAAAGTAAGAGAACACCCATGATGAACTCCCATGTGCCCATTACCCAGCTTCAATAATGACATTTTGCCAATCTTGTATAAATACCACTCAAAAGATAAATTAATAAAACTTACTATAAAACTCAAATAATTATAAAAGTATAGTAATAATGTATGAATTGATACACTTCTGGTGGTACCTCAGGTAGTTGAGGAGAAAGGAATATTCAGTAAATAGTGTGGGGCAACTAGTTAACCATTTGGGAAATAATTAAGTTAGATTCATACCTCATTGTATATTTAAAAGACATAATGGGAGAAAGTGGGGAAAAAGATTTTAAATGTTATAAAAAATAGAATAAAATATATCTGAACATTTGTCTAATTTTAAGGTTGGAAAGAACTTTCTATGCATAAATTAAATAGAAAAATAATTACAAAAGAAAAGATGTATGTTTTTAATTAAAAACTTCCTTGAAAAACTTCTTCAACAATGGTGAAAAATTAAGAGAAAAATGATAAACTCAAAAAAGTACATAACAGGGGCTTCCCTGGTGGTGCAACGGTTGAGAGTCCGCCTGCCGATGCAAGGGACACGGGTTCGTGCCCCGGTCTGGGAAGATCCCACGTGCCGCGGAGCGGCTGGGCCTGTGAGCCATGGCCGCTGAGCCTGCGCGTCTGGAGCCTGTGCTCCGCAATGGGAGAGGCCACAGCAGTGAGAGGCCCGTGTACAGCAAAAAAAAAAAAAATAATAATAACAAAGAGTTAATTTATTTACATTATGGAGTGCCCTTACAAATTAATGAGAAAAAGACAAATGCCAATAGAAAAAATAGCAAAGAACATGAAAAAAATTAACAAAAAAGTTTAATTACATAGTCACATAGAAGGAAAAAAATAAATTTTGCTAATCAGAAAAATTATAGTGAAACTGAAAGTCCACTTTGGCTTATCAAAAATGGCAAAATTATTTTTTTACAGAACATCTTAGAATTGATGGACGAACTGGAAATTGGCAGCATTATGTACCAACAATGCAAATGTAAACTCATGCAATCTTTCTAGAGGGCAATTTGACACAATTTCTATCAAGAAGTTTACAGATTAGATGCATGGACCCATTAATTCCATGCTTTGCAATTAGCTTAATAAAATAATAAAAGATGTATTCAAAGATATTTGTACAAGAATGTTGATCAGGGTGGCAGTTATAACAGTGAAATGTTGGCAACACTGTAAACATTCAAGGGGCAAATGTTGAAATTTATTGTGATTGTGGTAAATTCATGCATTGAATATGGCACAGTTGTTAAAAAATCACATTTTCAAATTTTTTGGTGATGTAGGGCATTGCTCATAATGTGTTATATATTGTGAAAAGTACATGACCCAATTTTAATTTAAAAAGGGATATATGTATGTATGTAATACACATATGGTTATACGTAGTAAAAATGACTGACATTAAATACAATAAAATGTTAACCATGATTATCTCTTAGAGATGGAATCTGGGTGACTATTTTTATTCTGTGTACTTTTCCGTATTTTCTACCATGAACAAGCATTACATTTATAATCATAAAAAGAATGTTATTTTATTTATG